CACACACCCACCCCCATCATCCAGAAGATGGTCTTGGCTGTCTTATGGCAACCACTCAGGCCTGAGCTTTGACCAAACGTTGCTTTGGCCTTCCTGCTCTATGGCACATGTGGAAGAAGGATGTGCTAAGCCTCTGCATCCTCTACTGTGTCCTGTCACCCTCCTCCTGTCAGGTATGAACTGGGTCTGCTGTGACAGTGTCGCTCAGAGACTTCCAGAGCACCAGCCCAGGTCACACTAAGGTTGATACACCTCTACATGCCTGCATGAGGGACTGCCTAGCCCTGCAAAGCAGGCAGTGAGGTGCAGACATGGTTTTACCCAACACCTCAGCCTGCCTTCACGGGGCCTGCTGGCTCTATAGGATGAACAGTGAGGTATGGCCAAGGTTCTACCCAAGGCCTTCTGGGAGCTTCCAGCCATGGACGTCTGAGTAGCAGGCTCTCCCTGTCTGTAGCATCAGGGCAGAGGCAGCCCTAGCTGGCTGTTCAAGAGCTTCCGGGGATGGGGTGGGGTTCCCATGGCAACAGGGAGACCTTTCCACCTGGAATGTATATCCTATTGCACAAAGACCAGAACCTGCCTGACAGTGAGCCAGGGGAAGGAATGAAGAGAGAGATGCTGGCACAGGGGCAGCTCAGCCACAGGCATGGAAGGCAATACGTGGGAGATGGAGACATTCTCTGCTCTGAGGACATTCTCGGCCTGGGTCAATAGTGGGGAATCTTAAAACTGTGTTTATTCCACTAGAAATTTTAAAAACAATTTAGGTATAATAACCTTGTATGTGCTTAAAGGTAGAGTCGTTTTTTTCAAGACAGGGTTTCTCTGTGTAGCCCTGGCTGTCCTGGAACTCACTCTGTAGACCAGGCTGGCCTCGAACTCAGAAATCCGCCTGCCTCTGCCTCCCAAGTGCTGGGCTTAAAAGCGTGCACCACCACTGCCCAGCTAGGATAGAGTCTTACTACGTAGCATAGAGTGATTTTTAAAGTCGCTATTCTCCTGCCTCAGCCTCTATGGTACCAGACTGCAGGTGGACACCACCATATCAGGCATGAATATTAATTTCTATATACTGTTAAATTTTTTTAAATTTAAATTCACTCATTAAATTCTAGTTTTAAGCAAATAAACCCACTAGGGTGCAGATATGGGAAAATATGACATATAAAACATCATTTTATATTAATAACAGAATGGAAAGCATCTGCAACAAGAATAAATCAGAGTCAACAAGGAAACACACACAGTGCAAAATGCACACAGTGCAAAACTGTCAATTCTGGCCATGCCGACCAAGCAATGGCTTCCGGGGATGTCAGGCAGGACTGGGGACTCAATGAGCTCCCACTTACTGTGAGGGGTTGCACAATGCCAAGTCTGAGTCCTAACAGAAAGATTTACACAGTAAAAAACAACCAACCAAATCTCCTGGCAGGATGACTGCTTGTTTAATCTGCCGGTACCAGCATCTGCCTGGGCTTCTGTCACTGCTCTGGCTCCACTGCACCCCCTGCTGGTAGATACTGAGAATGCAACTGGAGGCAGAAACCTCTGGTTCTACAGGACTGGAACCTGCCAGCCATCTGCAGCTGTCACAGAAAGTGTGGAAAAGCAACAGGTCTGGCACATGCATGCCCAGCTGCACCTCCACCCCAGGGCAGGTCTCCATCATTCAGGGTGTTGGGAGAGGCATTCATTCAGACCTGCTGGACCAGGTTCAAGCGTTCCCTAGCTCAATGGTGTTCCTACAGAGCCTACAGTTCTATTGTAACCTCACACAGAACTGGCCTTGGGGGCAGGAGTGCCCTTTCTTAGCATCCTATGGTCAGCATCCATCCCTCACATCAACAGACAATAATTCTCCAGAGCCTCTCAGTGCAGGTAGCTGTGTGGGTGACTGGAAGAGAGACAACCCAGTTGGCAGCAATAAAAGGGGGCACTGGGCACACCAAAGCCTCTGGAGGGCACAACAAAGCCTAGGTCCATGCCTGTCCACTCAAAATTCCATTGTCATCTTTAGGCCCAGGTGTATACCCTGCACCAGAAGAAAGGCTCATGGAATGACCAGTGCAAGCAGGTGGGCACGGCCTGCGGTAACTGGGAACCTAAGAACTATGTAAATGCAGACTGATACCCCAAGTTAGTGACTCCCCAAAGGGCAGCAAGGAAGCCAAGAGCCTGCAGACAAAATACATTCACTACTTTTTCCTTCACTTTACAGACAGGGCAAGGCCTGAAGCAATGGGAGCTGGGTACTCTGTCCAGGAGCTGCCCAGGAACACAGCAAAGGCCTCAGCGCTGCTCTAGCCAATCAGGCTCCATGCAGGGGTCATGCCTTCCTCAACGAGGACAGGGGACAGCTTATGCTGGTCTCGGCGACAACCTACATGGAAGGCAGCCTGTAGGGCCCATAACACCCTCCTTTTAAATATCTACTTCAGCACAGACTGCTCCCACTGAAAAATCAAGCAGCTTTTAAAAAGTGGGCTCTCACAGTTAAAGGGACATTTTTACAATTATTAATGTACTCCAAAAGTTAAGATAGAGGCCAAGGATTATCTAACAGGAGCAGGCAGGGAATCAAATGTGGGAATTTCCTTCTCAGCCTTCCAGGAGGACAAAGGAGATGTTCTGAGACAGAACCAAATCCCCAGTAGGAAGCTGGCAACGCTGGGCTACTGTAGCTTCCTTTCCAAACACATTATATTTCATCACTAAACTCTGGAAAGTGGAAAAAAAAAAAAGCCAATTCTGAGTTGGATACTAGGAGGCCAGGGCCTGTGCTTGCCGGCTGGCAGGGCTGCAGACAGTTCTTTGGAAAGCTTTCTGCCCAGGGCCAGTGCCCGAGCTCAAAGCACTAATGGTTTCCTCTTAGTCGTATGCCTCGGCCACAACCTCTGTTCCTGTCCTGTTAGCTCCAAAGCAGATAGGACAAGCGAGATGACACCAAAGTCCACGGTTAAAGGAAGTTCTTGTGAGGAGAGGGTGGGGGGTGGTAGGAGGTGGGACACAGAAATCAGCCAGCTGTCAGCAAGAAAGAGTCCTCCCCACCCCCATCAGCTCTGGGCTAAGACTTCCCTGTGTGGTCCTGCAATCACATAAAACAGCCATGCACAGTTCTACTATGCCTGAGGGCATTTCCTCGTCTCTCACACAGGCTGTCCTCACCCCCGTGTCTGCCCTTACTCCTTCCTTGTGTGTGAAGGCAGGGGTCAACATGTGGAGTCTTTTTTTTTACATTGCTCTCCACTTTTTGTTTTGAAATTAGGTCTCTCCATTGAGCCTGAGATCACCTATATGAACACAGGGGCTGTCAGGTGAGCCCCAGGGGTGCTCTGTCTCCAACTCTCTACTTCTCTGCACCGCCACACATAGGTGGTGGGGATCGAACTCATGGTCTCGTGTTTGCTTAGCAAGTACTGTGCCAGCTGGGCCACCTCTCCAGTTCAGTCTCAACACTTGCAAAGAAAAAGGACATTTTCCCCAGTTGCTGGCGAGGAGGTGTTCTCTGCTCTCGGTGAGGCAGTGATGGGCTTGCTCTGTGGTAAGCCTTGGGGAAAGGAGGCTGGTCCTCACCTTTAACATGCTCCTTTGCTTTCCTTTTTGTGGGGCTCAGAGGTGCAACATTGGGACCACGCTTGGACACATGGCAGGCAGAGGGCTAGCTAATGTAATGATCAAAGTAATTTTTTTTTGTTTTTCGAGACAGTGTTTCTCTGTGTAGCCAAGGCTATCCTGGAACTCACTCTGTAGACCAGGCTGGCCTCGAACTGAGAAATCCGTCTGCCTCTGCCTCCAAGTGCTGGGATTAAAGGCGAGTGCCGCGACCGCCGGGCTCAAAGTAATTTTTAAAATTACATTGTGTGTGTGTGTGTGTGTGTGTGTGTGTGTGTGTGTGTGTGTGTGAGAGAGAGAGAGAGAGAGAGAGAGAGAGAGATTTCTAGAAACAAGTTCTCAGCTTCCTTCAAAGTTGTAAGGCTTATCACTTAACAGGCACCTTCACCTACAGATCCATCTCACAGCCTGTGACTAGAAACATAGGAAGCTCAGAATGTGGACTGGTTCAGGTGGACATGGGCCAGCATCTCCTCTATCTGGGAGATTTTAATTGGGGGAGAGATGTGGCATTCAGAGGTCTATGGAGACGCTATGCTTCTGGGGGAGAGGGAGGCAGGATCTACTCTCCATCTCTTCCATCCTCCCAGTTCTCCTTAGGCTTCTCAGAGGACGCATATCTCAAGGTCTGAGGAGCAGGGATATGGGTGTGGGTAGAGAGATCATAAGTCATGAGTGGAAAGCCCAAACTCACAGACATGACTAGGGACCCTAAACTCTGGGAAGCAGAGCCAAGAAATTCACCCTTGAGCAGTATAGGCAACGGGACATATCACAGTCTCCAGCTGGGGTGTAAGAGACACCCCTGCACACACAATGCCAATATGATCTAAAGAGAAGACCTTGCAAGGAGACAGAGAGCTAGCTGGCTTCACATGAGGGCCTCTTGCCCCTCAGCATGAGGTGGGCACAGAATACAGAATAGAGGGTAGAGGGAGAGAGAAACCAGCACTTAAGTATGCCACCAGGGGGCAGGAGGCATCTCTGCCTCTCCTTCCCTGTCTGTCCAAACCCCTGTGCAGCAATGCACTGTTCCAGCAGCATGTGGCAGGTCGACTGACAGCTGAAAGCCCTGCAGGGCTGGGTGAGCGGTCACAAGAGCCCAGTGTGGCAAACTTCCCTGAACTCCCAAGCTGTCCTGCGCTCAGCAGCTCAACCCCATGTTGGTCAATTTCCTAGAATTTGCTCCCAGGTGACAGGAGAACCTGCAGAGCCCCAGGCGGCTTGCAGATCCTCTGGAATGTTCTGCTTCCTTAAAAGGTTCCTGTCACAGTGACCACATGCTTGTGAGCCTACCCAAGCATGAGAATATGAAACCTTTCCACACAGTCCAACAGCTGCATACGTCTGACATTCGGGACACAATTCCAAACACCAGCAGAGACACACAGAAACTCTAATGCAGGAACAAGGGAAAGACCAGAATGGCAATGAAGATGGCAATGGCGGAATTCTTCCTATGCCAACCGTTGAGACCTAACCCGATTTTGAAGACAGCGCCGACACAGGCAGAGTCTGTACACAATCAGGGATTGTGTATACACAGGGGCAATGGCAGTCAGTGGCCAACAGAAAGAAGGGCCCAGAGGCAGCAGGATGGCCTCCCCCAACCTTCCACATACCTGTGAGGCAACACGAGGCAGTCAGAGGCCCAGAGCCTTTGGGGAAGGGGCCATGGATCTCAATCACATATTTCTACGACGGCTTTGTCATTTTTTTAAAAAAAAGAAATAGCACAATGGCACATGTTCACGATAGAGACTGGCTGAGGCCTGACTCTCAGGAAGGAACACAATGTCAAGTTTCAGTCACGGCTCTAAGGCAGACGTTTACAGCTTTTCACAGGGATGAAGACAGACACCTCAGCTCGCTGCACGTTAGGGCGAGTGTGTATGGCCCTCACAGCACGGTGGCCTGCACGACGATCTCGGGGTTCTCAATGTCCTTTTTACTCTGGACCATCCTCAGCTCCAGCTGAGCCGGGCTGGGCTTCTGTCCTTCTCCTGCTTCGGCTGCAGAACACAGGGAAGATCAGAGCAGGTAGCATAGAACCTGAGACATCCTTCCTCCTTCCACAGTTCCCACAGTTCCTGCTTCAGGAGGGGCTCTACACTGCCCCCTGCTGACTCACTTCTAACAGGAAGCAGGAGGCAGAGCTCCCCCCTCCCTCTTGCCCACCTCTAGGCAGGGACTACCCCCATGGAAGGCAGAGAGCCCTGGCAGGTACCTTTTGCACACCGGATGGTCCTCTGCAGGACGTGCTGCATGGCAGACACTGTTTTCTCACAGGCCACCTGTGGAGAGGACAGAGGCTGTGGCCTACCTGCTGAGCATCTCTGTACAGAGGGCATCCTCAAGTACCAGCTCCCTCAGTCACCAGGCAGATGGCCTCACTGTCCCTCACACCCACACTGGATACCACTGGGCTTCCACTGGAATGACTGCAGGATAACCCCACACTGAGATGCTTCTGCATCAGGCTGTATCTGGAGGGTCCCACTTAGCACAGGCTAGAGGCTAGGCTCTCTGCCTGGGGTGCTATTGGAGGAATGACAGCTTCCAGAGGTGGGGCCTGATGCAAGGATCTTTGCTTCCTGGATGCCACCATGATGCATAGCTATAGGTCTCAAAGCAACAAGGCCAGCTCACCATGGACAGATACCTTTCCATGTGTAGATAGAAACCTTTCCTCTTTATAAAGAGTCTTGGGTATTTTGTTACAGCAGGGGAGAGAGAACCAGTCAGGAGCTGCTCGCTAATTAACCACTTACCCGTGGACTGAGATGCATCATTGGATGGGGCATCCTTGACCTTGGGACTTGTCACTATTGGGCACACCTGGCACACAGCAGGTGCTTAATTCCTGCTACAATTCCTGGGATTAATTAGTTTTAAAACTCTAAAAATGAAAGAGCTCTGGCCCACCCTGAATTCAAGGCCTGGGGGACTCTGCCAATACCTAGACACTCCTCATTTCCCTGACAGGGATTGGAAGAACCAGGGCTTGTCTTGGGAACCCCACAGTGAGGCTCCACAGGGTGAGAGCTGCCAAATCCCTGCTGCTCTGTACAAAGGAACCCCCACTGCTGCCAGTTAAACAGGGCAAGCCTGGCTTGCTCTACACCTGGGAGATGTAGAGCCAGTACAGGGAAAAAGGAGTGAGCATGCTAGGCTCAGAGTTCAGAGTTTTCAAAGGACTCGACACACGAGAGCCTGACTCCATCTCCATCATAAAGGCAAAGAGTCAGAGACGTGGTCAGAGCTGGGTAGGATGGTGTTGGGACAGACCAGGGACCCACTTTCAGGTCCTCACATCTAACTGCCTCCTCTAGGTGACAGCTGATTCCTTCTCCAGTCTAAAGGAAGGGCAGCCCTCACCCAGCTATGCAACCTTGTCCTTCACATGAGGGACAGCAAGCAAGGCTATGGGTAGCCATCTGCATGGCTGGGACAGTCTACAGTGTGGTATTTGCTATGCTGGGATGGAACCCAGGCCTTGTGTGTACATGTTAAGTGCTCCCCTGAGTCATGGGCCCAGCCCTTGTGACTCTGCCTTCAACAGCACTGCAGGATGACATGCTTGCTGCATGCTGCTGTGGAGAAAGGGAAAGGACCCACTACTTGGTCATGAAGCTTTTCTGCTCACAGGCCAGGAGATCCCAGATGGAAGGGAACTCCTCTGGCCCGGATGAGCAGCACACTGAACTGCATACTGCACAAGAAAAGCCCCAGCATGATCCCCGCAAAACACCTCCGTCACACCTGAGTTTGATATGGCTGGGGTGCACCCCTAGCACTAACTTCATCTTCACACAAAGTATGACCACACGAGTGATGAACATATAGACAACCATAGAAAGACCCATCTCCAGGACAGGACTGAGGGGGAAGGAACTATCTCTGTAAATTTTGAGCTTACTGCCATTTTTCCCCAAGGTCACTGTTAACGCTGTTAACACTGTTAATGAAACAATCCAGACTGGGCTACGCACTGGAAAATTTGTGATGTGAATAATGGAAATTTGGGTTCTTAAACACACACACACACATAGAGGGAGAGAGAGGGAGAGAGAGGGAGGGAGAGGGAGAGGGAGAGGGAGAGGGAGAGGGAGAAAGATTATAATAATATGTTTTTTGGCCAGGCGGTGGTGGCGCATGCCTTTAATCCCAGCACTTGGAAGGCAGAGGCAGGTGGATTTCTGAGTTCGAGGCCAGCCTGGTCTACAGAGTGAGTTTCAGGATAGCCAGGGCTATACAGAGAAACCCTGTCTCGAACCCCGCCCCCAAAGAAAGAAAGAAAGAAAGAAAGAAAGAAGGAAAGAAAGAAAGAAAGAAAGGCAAGGGTCAGGACCTCTAAAAAAAAGAATATGTTTTCATTTTAATCCCAGATATGGAATATGGGGCTGCTTCAGATGGTCCACAGCAGGTGATTATGATTTGCCCCATGCTTTAGCAGAGACATGGTTTTGCCAGCTGCGATTGTATGCTGTTTCAAATTCTGGGAACTTTTCAGAAGGTATAAAAATGCTAGGGACCCAAGCGGCAGATTCGTGATTAGTGGATCACAGGGATTCCTTGTGGTTTGTTAGTGGTTGTGCTAAGAAAAGAAGAAACAAGAAATCTCTCTCTAACCTCGATCCTTTGTTCTCTCCTCTCCAATGTTAGGAGGTAAAACTAGGGGGATAAAGGGTGCAACAAAGGAGACCCCACAAAGTAGCAAATACCACCTACAGAAGTGGCTTCCGGGTCAACAAGGAGATGCCCAAAAGGCTGCATGGAACCAGGATGTGAAAGGTAGTTTCTGTCTTTTAATTTACTTCTTACACTTTGAGGGTAAAAACCCAGGTCACATGCATGCACTGGGCATAAGTCCTGAGATCCCTGCATTCCAACTTTATAATACAAGTCCCAGAGGTTATTTCCATGATATCACTTCCCAAACATGGGATGCATGGCAAGAGACTGACAGGGTGTCTTCTGGGCCCATGGTGAGTGGTACCCTCCCACAGAACCTTTAGGCCCAGGCCCCACTAACCTGCTTCTCTGAAGGTTAGAACTATAGTACACTATCTCTGCACCAGGAGAGCAGACAGAATTGTGGGGGAGGAGCAACAAGTACAACTGACCTTGAGATTGTCCGGGTGCTTGTGTGTCCACGCCAGAAGCATGGCCGCGAAGAGGTCCCCAGTGCCCACGAAGACGGCGCCCACCTTGTGCATCTCCATCCGGATGCGCTGGGTTACCATGGAGCCATCAGGCTTCCCTGGGGAAGGACATAATCCAGGTCACGAGTCTGAGACTTCTCAGTCGAACAAGGGTCACCCCTACAGTAAGAACCTGTCAGCCCAACTTGTCCCCACTTCTCTGATGTGACAGGAAGGTCAGCACTGCCCATTCTTCAGAAGGTCACACAGAGGTGGTGTGGCATCCTTCAGTAGCTCTGGGACTCATGTGAACTGTCATTACCAACCCCCACTGCCTCCAGTGTCCCAAAGGGGAGTGAAACACTGGTCCCTAGAAGATGATGTCAGCAAGGTGGAACACACTCAGTGTGCCAATAACTGTCTGAATGCACTGCTTGTGTGTGTACACACACGTGTGCAGTACAGTAACAGTCACATACACATCCCTACACCCTTCTGCATCCAGAATGCTCACTGAAGCCAGTGGGTGTGAACTTGGGGATCCTGTCAGCCTGGGGCTCAGCTCTGTGCCTTGTATTACTGGTCAAAGAATTCACTCAGGTGCTGCTTGTATCAGCAGTCACCACAGCCCAACAGATGTCTACACCCTCTGGGCACTTGGGCCACAGAAGCCAGACACAGCTGGCCTCTGGAATAGGCCACAGGATGGTAGCTCACCAGACATGAGAACTTGCCAATTGAAGCACTGCATGGATACCTGAGCATCCGGTGAGTGGGGGATGGGAGAGTCTGCTCATGTCCCCAAAACCCCATCCAGCCCCTCCTGGCTCTGCAGAAGCCTCTCCTGAGCCTGCCTTCTGTCTGACTCTCCTGAGGGGCAAGAGGAGCTTCCCCGCTGGCTGCTTGAGCATGAGCTTCTTCCTACTGAGCCCCAAGCATCCTCTGACACTCTAATGCCTTGGGCTACATAAACCAATGGGCCAGGAGCATGTGAGAGCAGGCGGGACAGGCACTTACTTATCCTCTGGCTGCCCAGCGCGATCAGGTAGTCCTTGCCCTGTGGGGAGGGTAGGTCAGAGCTGGTGATGACCACGGTGTCAGGACCCATACCATGCAGCAAGTCCATCACCTGCCAGCAGCAAGGGGGAGTGTCAGCACATCTACACACTGACAATCAAGCTTCCCAAGGGACAGGGGACAGGGCCTGGTAGGCCACTGTCCTCTCTACAATTAGAGACTGAGCAGCCAGGCAAACCCAGAATGCTTGATGGGCTTCCAGGAAACCTGGAACGTTGCAGACACATGGCCTAGTCTGTGCTCAGCCATGTTCAACCAGATCATTGAGAGTTGAGTGTGTAGAATGAGGAAGCTTGGGGGCCACACCCCAACTCCTTAGAACCCAGGAAGCCCATTATACTCAAAGGGAGCAAGCTTCCCTCTTAACAGGCTTGTTTATTTGTTTGTTTGCTGTTTGTTTGTTTACTGATTGATTAATTGAGCCAGGGTCATACTATATTATACAGTCTTGGCTGACCTCAATTTGGTATGTAGACCAGGCTGGTCTTGAACTCAGAGATTTCACTACATCTTTCCTTTAAGTGCTGTGAGCCATGACACATGGCTCAAGCTGGTTTAAACCTGACAGATGCCCCAATGTGCATTGCCATGTTCAGAGGGCATACTCTCGGGTGCCTATACAAGTGGATCAGGATACAAACTTAGCCACAGTCCACTCATAGAAGGGGACAACATACGTGGACTTATATACCATACACACTGTAGTCTCTAAGGCCACACAGGGCGGGCAGGATGGCCACACTGGTGTATGGAGCTGCTCAGGTGTGACACTGAAGATGCCCATCATGGGGCTGAAGACAGAGAGCAGCACTTAAGAGCACTAGCTGCCTTACAGAGGCCTCAGGGTCCGTTACTAACACCAACATGGCGGCTCTCAACTGTCCTTAACTCCAGTACCAAGGAATCTGATACCCTCTTCTGGCTCTGAGGATACAAGACACACACATGGTGCACACATACACATACAGAAAAACACTCAAATTTAAGGTACAGATAGGTAAGTCTTTAAAAATAGATGACTAGCAACTCTGGACACAGGTCACTCCCAGTCCCAGTGAGGAGCTGCTACCACACGCTCCTGGGTGGCTCTTTCCTGCCGGCTGCTTGTTTCTGGGTAGGATGGTGTGAACTGAAGGTAACCAGAACAGTGTTGGGACATGATGGTGACTTAGGTGGTTGGGACACTGTGGGCTGTTGGGTTCAATCAATGAGATTGTGTCTGGAGCTCACACAGTGCCTGGTACACAATAGACACTCACTACACACACAGTAACTGCTCTGGGCTAATTTGTGAAAAGACAAACTGAGGCCACAGCTGAGTGGGCCACAGAGTCTTAGAAGGATGATTTCTGTCCTATAAAGCATGGTGACAGTAGGCTGAGTCATGAAGCAGCAGAGGCCATGAGTCAATATCACACACAGCAGAAGAATCTTGAGGTGAAAGGCAGGACCTCTGGAGCAGCAGAGGGAGTGCACCCTGACAGCCCCTGCAGTTTGGACTTTCAGACCCCAGAGATGTGAGAGAACACTACTATGGCAGCCACAGGGCGAAGTCACAGATAATGGTGGGCTGAGAGTATCAGTCAGTGACAAGGTGTTCATCACACCTGGGGGCAGAGCTCAGTATCCCTCAGATGCTCATCCCTTCCTGTAGACAGATGACTGTCTCCTGGTGAATAGGGCTGTGTGTGAAGCTCTCCTTACCTCGAATGCTTCTTCCTGGCTGTGGATTTTTCTGCCACTCAGCAACCTGGAACACAGATGGGAAGGGTGAGCCAGACCCTACAGTACATCCATCCTGACACCTGACCCCACAGGGAGCCATCAGAGCACCTACTGACTATGAGAACCAGGTGAGGTCTCAACATAAGAGGTGGGAATATCAGGGTTGAAGTGTGTGAAAGGGAAATTGTATACATGGTGTGGTTCCAAACGGTGTTGAACCCTATAGAGGACTGTAGACAGAAACAGCACCTACAACCCGCACAGTTAAGGCAGGTAATCAATATTCAAGGAAGCCTGAGGATCAGGCTCCCCACCTGCCTGCCTTAGCCTGCAGGTTTTTGTTTTTGTTTGTTTTTCTAGCTAATCAGGGCCATGTGTGCTGAGCTCTGAGAGAGACCTGTGGCCTGCAGCTCCACCTGAGCATTCCCAGACACATCAACCCTCAGCTGGACATGTGCGATCTCCTCTTTGTCTCCTTGGAGCATCTCGCCAGCAGGGAGCAACTGTGGGCCAACAGATCATGTACCAAGAACCAGAGGGAATGAGTGCTTGTCATTCCCTAGAGGCAGTGGGAACCACTGCTGGTTTAGGGTCCAGGTTTTCAGGCAAGGGTGACATGATCAGTCTAGTGCAGGCCAGGCTTTCTAAGGGCCACCTAGGGGCCTCAGGGGGCAGATGTGGGGTTGGTGGAGTTACCAGAGCATATGTGAAGTCAGGCCCAGGGTTCTGCAGGGCTCCCCGGGGCATCTGGCTTTTCTGACCATGTGGTTACTTACTCAGCCTCAAACTGGTTGGGAGTGATGATGTCTGCCACGGGTACCACTTTGTCCCTGTACACGGGGAGGAGGTCCTGGGGAACATACTGGAGAGAACAGGAGACAAAGGAGGAGGCTCACTCACACGGAAGGAGACCAGCGGGGAACAATCCCAAAGCCCAAATCCTGAGGGGACACCTGACATTGCCACCATGAGGAAATACACAACTGAGGATCCACAGAGTTGGGGGTGACAGGGACAGAGAAGGGTGTCACCAAGGAAGAGAAGGGCCTGAGGCAGGAGGGGATGGCCTCAGCTCACCAGAACCAAGAAGGAAGGGAGATAGGGAGCTAAGACCAAGGACAGCACAGGATGACTTAGGCAACACCAGGCCCTCAGGCCCTGCCAGCTGGGTTTGGGGCCCAGCTGGGTCTGGTAGCCTGAGTCCTGGGTGTCTCATCTCCATAGAAGACATGCCTGTGAGCTAACCCACTCCTGGTCATCTCATTGTTTAAGTTATCAATGAAGAATTCCACAAAACAGTACCTCTCCCCCACCTCCAAACCCCATATGGGTTCTTATTCTATAGCCCAGGCTGGCTTAGAACTCACAGCAATGCAGTTTCCTTCCAAGTCCTGGATTACAGGTGTGACTTATCAAAGCCATCTTAGAGAACTATCTTTAACTTTTGTTTTTCTTATTACCTCTATGCTGAGGATGGACCCAGGGCCTTGTGCCTGTTGGCCAGCATTGTCTCTACCTCCAAGATCCTTTTTAAAAATTTGGATTCAGGCTGACCTCGAACTTGTACTCTTCCTTCCCCAGCCCCCAAGTAACTAGGATTACAAATGCCTACTGTCTGGTTCCTGATACTCAAGTCCTACATGATACAGAAATAACTGCTCTCATGATGCTTTGCAGTGCTGATGCGTGGTCCAGGGTTCCAATCTCTGCACTTCCAGTTAAACTGGAGATACAGAGTCCTACCCAGATGGATGCCTGCAGACTGGCACAAACTACTGGACCACCTACATAGCACAACCCCTAGACTCCGGTCTTATCATGGAAAGTTCTTTAACTGTGTTTGGTGGCTGGTACATATCTCAGTGGCAGAGTATGTGGCTAGTATGTAAGAGGCCATGTGTTTGACCCCCATGATGCCTCCTCTGGACAGAAGAGTACAGTCCTACAGTCAAGGGTAAATGGCTAACAACCCCCCACCCCCAATCCCTCCTTCAGCTAGAGCCTCCAATCAATCTTTAGGAGAAGACCACCCACAACAGGAGAAACTTGTAGGACATCTGCTTCAGTGTCCACACCTGGAGGTTTACTAAACAGCTTGCCCACTGCTGACAGACTGTCTATGGCTGCCATGGGACATGTGGGTAGCCTATGCAGGCACAGACAGTGCATACCAGCCTATCGGCCACACTGGTTTACCTGGGAAGGGAACCCTAAGCAGAAGACAGACCACAGGTTAACATCGGTGTGAGTCCACTCACCATGGAGCCTTCCCCGTTCCATTTGTCTCCCATCACAGGGTCACACACTGCAGGGACAGAACACCTGGTCAGCAGCTTGGGGTCTCAGGGTGTAACCCAGGATACTCTTAGATCCACAGTCTTCCTGCCTCAGCCTCTCATGTAACTGAGAATACAGGCATGCCCAGCTGGTAGCCAGGGTAATGCCCCCAGGCTATCTAGACAAACTAGATATGATGGACCCTCCCCACTTTGTCACCACCCCCCACAACAGTGTACCCTGCCTGAGGTATCAACCAACCTCGACCTCTTTAAGATTAGACCTCTCGCATCTTGGGTACCCCAGAACTTCATCCATAATTATCCCCTCCCTTCTCATGCCTTCCATGTGAAACCCTAGGTAATGTCACCCTGACAAACTTTCCCAGTCCTCCAGATGACTAGTCCACTCGGCTTCTCCTTAGAGGTCTCATGAGTCAAACAACAGGTAAGCAGGAAGACAGGTGGCTCGAAGACAGGGGGTGGAATGGTCCCCTCCCTAATAGGAGCAGCATAATGGGGTACACTCACCGTACACGAGTCGAGAGTTCTGTTGCTTCAGCTCCTGCACGATGTCCACCACCATGGCCAGGAAGGACTTGTCTCTCGTGTAACCTAGGGAGGAAAAAAAAATCAAATGTGTCCACTCAAAATAGGGCAGAGTGACCACCAGACCATCTCCTGTCAGAAATACCATCAAATCAAGCATGCTTTTGCATAGGGACAGGCCATATGCTGCGACTAGGGAATACAGAATGTCCCCAAATATTTGTACTCATGCAGGGGAAGACAGGAAAATCCCAGAAGTCCATGAGGAAATTTGATGGCTAGGAGGATCAATAATTGACAAGTAATTGAACTTTCAAGACATATCATTCCAAAAAATGTTTATGTGTCTGTGTGCGTCTGACTGTATGTCCATACACCACGTGTGGGCATGGGCACTCAGAAGTCAGGGGATGGTGTCCGAACTCCTGGAGCTGGAGTTAAACATGGTTTAGAGCTGGGAACTGACCTTGGGTCTTCAAGAATGCTAAGTGCTTTAAACCACGGGGCCATCTCTCTAGCTCCTGTGTCTCTTTTATTGTGAGGCTGGAGAGAGACAGCTCTGTGGTTAAGAGCTGTTCTGCCACAAGTCCTAAGTTCAGTACCCAGTATCTACATGACAGGTCCCAACTGTATAACTGTAGACCCACCTGACACAATGCCATCTTCCAGTGTGCACAAAACACTGTATTAAAAAATACAGCTAAATTTAAATTTTTTGAGGCAAGGTCTCAGTCCATAGCCCTGGCTTATCTAGAACTCACTATGTAGACCAGGCTGCTGCCATAGAATTCAGAGTGCCACCTGCCTATGTGCTGGGGCTTTAGGTGTGTGGCACAATATCCAGACAAAACATGGCAGATAACGAAAGCTAAGTCTGACCAAGTGGGGATGCTTGCCGGCAAGTCAAAAATCCAAAATCAATCCCTGGAACCTACATAGTGGAAAGACCTCCACACACACCCATGTTGTGGCACCATATGTGTGCAATTGTGTAAATGTGGACACGCACATGCACACTTGTATACATAAACCGATAACATAATAGACTGATAGGTAGTAAAAACAACCAGAAACATAACAGATGACTTCTGGGTAGCAGTATTTCACCCTCAACCTGGGGTGGAGGGCAGGAAGGGGGAGAAGAACTGCAAGCACCTTAGGAAGGAACCAGGGAAGAGCCAAGCAAGGGGAATTGGACCTATCCCTGTCACCAGCAGGATGAGGACCCTGCCCCAGGACCCTGGGGACGCTCACCAGTGAGCACGTAGTCATACTTGTTGACACTGTTCAACTTGAGGCCTTCATACAGCTCGTGCAGTTCCTGGGATTTCAGCACCTGCCCCTTCCAATGGGCATAGCCTGCAGGAAGAAGACACTTGAGTGTGGCTAGGGGAGCCCAGGCTTCTCTGGTGGCCATCTCAGCTGATGACAGCCAGCTCCCCTTCCTTGAGGAGACCCAGTGAGCTGGTCTTCTGAGGGCTGGCCTTCTCTGGGCCAAGTGCCTCAGTGGGATCCCAACACCCAAAGCTACCCTGTTCCTACACTGTGGGGGCTGAACACTGGTCTCCATCCTCCCAAGCCTGGTTCCTATCCAATCAGTCCAGGGCAGTAGAGTCCCTGGGCCCCAGAAGATGGAAGATGGACAGGAACTCATGGGCACACAGCTGTTTATTTCTCTACTCAACAGGACATCTCAGGGTAGCCCACCCAGTCCCTACCCAGAGTCCAGTCAGGTTCCCAATCTCCACTTCTGTGTGTCTAGCCACCAAAGGCAAGCTGCTGGGTCACTGTCACCTGACACCACTGGCAGGTAAGGGCTTACCCTGTCCCCTCCCATTCTTTCTCTCTCTCCCACAAATTAAATCTCTGCCAAAGCAAGTCATGGGTCAAGTCTACCAAGAGACAAGCATGAACAAGAAACAGGTCTGGCCCAGACATATGACCTGCCCTTCTGCCTGATGTGGCCAGGACCCCAGGCCTCTGGGACTCTTCTTGAGATGGAGGATACCTGTACAGCCACTCTACAGAAATACAGATGCCTTGGGAGGTGGTGGTGCACGCCTTTAATCCCAGCACTTGGGAGGCAGAGGCAGGTGGATTTCTGAGTTCGAGGCCAGCCTGGTCTACCGAGTGAGTTCCAGGACAGCCAGGGCTACACAGAGAAACCTTGTCTCGAAAAACCAAAAAAAAAAAAAAATAATAATAATAATACATGGGCTGGAGAGATAGATGGCTCAGAGGTTAAGAGCACTGACTGCTCTTCCAGAGGTCCTGAGTTCAGTTCCCAGCAACCACATGGTGGCTCACAGCTATCTGTAATGGGATCTGATGACCTCTTCTGGCCTGCAGGCATACATGCAGGCAGAATGCTGTATACATAATAAATAAATCATTAAAAATAGGAAAAAAAAAAAGAAATACAGATGCCAGGTGGGGCCAACCACTGACATCCTGAATATCACCAAAGCAAACTATGTCCACTCAGCATCTCCAGCCTTCCAGGGACACACACAGCATTCTCTAAGGTACCCAGGTGTTTCCAGTGCCCATGGAGCACCAGATGGAGCACAGCATGACCGTGATCCCCCATGTCATGGCAGTGATCCCTCCCAGAATGATGGTGATCCCAAACAGCCAGCATGCTCCTCAGAACTAAACTCAACCCCACTGCTCAGCATCCAAGCCATCTCATTTAAACACCTGTAACAGTGCTCAAAGCAGCAGGAAGAGTCCATGGGGCCACAGTTCACTGGGGGCCCTGGGCCATCTGGGACTTCAAATGCACGAGCACTGGTACTGAGTAGCAAGCGACCATGGAGGTCCACTGTCAGCTCCTATCTGAGGCTCCTATCTTCTCTCCCTGTCTAAAATCCATTACACTCAGGAGTGTGTTAAATCCTCTGAGACTTTACATCCTGCTGGTGACCAGCTGGGCTGCTCTGGGGCACTTTGAGCTCCCAAAGTCCCCTTTGTGTTCAGAACAATGTCAGGACAGGAACTATTATTAAACACCCGAGTGGCTTTGTTCTCTTGCCAGCACAGAGAACAGGGAGAGCTACACTCCCTGTGGACTCCAGAGGCCACAGGTCAGGGCTGTGGGGAGCTCATACTTGCTCCAAACAATTCAAGTGGCTTCTGAGGACAGTTCCCTTTAGCAATAAGCAGTGCTGTCTTTGGGTTCCCAGAAGACAGACTGACAGACAGACAGACAGACACACACACACACACACCCTTCCCCTGGTGCTGATGCTGAATCTAGAGCCACACAGGGCTCTCCCATGCACAAGGTATTGCTGTGGAGATGCACACAAGCATGCAGGTCCCCACAGGAGGACACAGTGGCACTCACTGAGACTTACCTGTTCAGCTCCTCTGCCACAGCAGGAGCCATGACTGCCAGGTTAGCACAGCAGGAAGCTGAGGCAGAGAGGTTTCCCACCTGTCAGCTCCAGAACAGTGGGCACGCAAACCAGCATTGTGTGAGGGTACACTCTATACAGAGTGGTCCTTCTGGGATCCATCCCCCTCCCCACCTTTAGGAGTGACAACTACTCCCCCAAGGACAGGTTACAGGACATGCTCAGATCCGCCATGACCAACATCTTGAAGTCCTACCTGTGTGGTTTGAAAACTGCACAGAGTTCACGGCATCAACCTCAAATCCCAAAACCTGCAGGACAAGCAGAAGAGTGTGACAGTGCCCATCTGTGACCCCCTAGAACCCAGAGCAGGGTCCCCTCCATGGCTAGAGTCCCAACTTGAGGAGGGTAACAAGGAGACCAGCCAGGTGGTCGAGACCCCCAGGCAGGACGGCAGCAGGATAGGAACCTGCCCAAGCCAGCCAGATGTTTGCATTTCAGGGCCACACATGGCTGAACGTGGATCTCCTTTGTTCAGTCACTCAGGAAATTTTCCCAAAAGGCCAAGGTGGAGACACCCCCTCCCCCTTGTGGGTATGCACTGAAGGATTCATGGAGCACCCCAGAGGGCTCAGGTGGTCAAAGAAACCCCCCTCAAGCACCTGTCTGTCCAGATTAGAGAACAAGGCCATGTTAGTTTCCAACCCACCCCTGAGGGTGTGAGGGCCAGACCCAGCTGGCCAGGTCAACTTAAGCAGTCTGACCACACCAGCTAGCAAACTCTTCCTCCTTCCTTGTCAACCAGAGAAAGGTCTCAGGTCAGGGCTGAAGTCCCCAAGAACAACCTCGTTTATTGAGCAGCTCGCTGCTCTGAATGGCCTCCCATAACTCTTATGGCCGTCATCCAGATGGGACAAATGTGTCTCCTGAGACTCTCTGGGCAGAAGCTGAGGCTCCGTGTGGTCAGCTCTTCATCCCCAGCACACAAAGCTGCTCACTAAACCAAGTTGAAGCTGTGGACCTCGGAGTCTACCTAAAGCCATCACTGAGTGTAAAAACCTTTTATTTTAAAGGAAGAGGCCAAGCTGGGGTGATTATGCAGTCAGTATATTGTTCGGATGCTTTCTCCCACAATTCCAGCGCTGGGCCTCAGAGTCTACCTAAAAGGTATCATTGAGTGTAAAAGCTTTTTATTTTAAAGTAAGAGTCCAGGCTAGTGCATCAACAAAGTGCTTTTATGTGAGCAGGAGGAACACACATTAAGGAGTCCTAGTTTGTGGTTCGTGGTGCCACACGCCCTCAATCCCAATCTTCAGGAGGCAGAGGAAAGATCTGGCCAGCCTGGTCTACCAAGAGAGTTCCCGGATAGCTAGGGAACTCACACAGAGATACCCTGTCTTGTAAAACACAAAACAAACAAACAAGCCTAGTGTGGCAGTGTTGGCCACAATTCCTGTGCTTGAAGGATTCCTGGGGCTGTGGCCAGCCAGCCTAGCCTAGTCGGTGAACTTCAGGCTAGTTAGAGACCCTGTGTCCAAAAAAAAACCGAGGGGATTGTGGAGGGTGTTTAGCAGTTAGGGATACTTGTTGTGCCAATCTCGGGAACCAGAGTTTAGATGTCATCACTCACTGTAAGAAGCCAGGTGTTCTCTACACACTTGTAACCAGCTTCAGCTTCTTGGGGGATTGAGCCAGGGTTGCTGGGGTTTGCTGGCTTCCAGCCTGGCTGAGAAAACATGTGTCCCAGGTTCAGAGAGACCCTGTCTCACAGGAACAGGCAGAGTGAGAGGGGGGGAGAGTCCAGGAGACTCTTCTGCCAGCACACACAGGTAAGTGAGTGTGCACACACAGACACGGCCACACACTCAGACCCCAATAAGTCAACCAATCCTTTTTAAGGGTAAAGAGCTGGAGAGTTGTACTCAGCATTGATCTCTGGGTCCTCCTCACGTACACAGGAACCCACACAAATAGAGACAAATTAAAATGAAGGGGGCAAAGGATTCTGTCTAGATGGCTCAGACAAACAAGAAGCCACTTTTCAGGCATGCCCCGTGTGACACAGAGCCAGAGTTTCCTCCTGTTGCCTCTTCCACTTCTCTGCCTCCTCACTCTTAGCAGCTTTTGGGTGGTCTGCTTGCCAGAGGATCTCCCTTTCTCTCTCAGTCCCCCAGATATACCATTCCGCATTCATTAGGTGGCCATCCCTAGAAACAGAGTTCCCCTTAGTCTGGGCCCCTCATCCCCCAAGGCAAGCCTCATCCAACATCCACTCTATAGCAATGCCAGGCCAGGACCACTGAACAAGACCCCAAGGAAACACACCCCATAATGCAGATACCACCAATAGAAAGAGGGGCCAGAAAGAGGGTCTGCCAGGGTGTGGAAGCCAGAGGCCCAGGATGAGGAAGAACTGGCCTAGTGTACAGACAGCACCCAGAGTCCAGAGAGATAAGACCTTAGGCAGAATCCAGTGTAAACAGGAAGCTGAGGACTCCCCCCACCAGAACTCCAGGACACCCAAACAAAGGAGCCCTGTGAATCTGACCTATGAATACAGAGGAGAGAGACAGCAGTGACCATGGAGCGGCAGAAAAAAACAGCTCCCTTCATAGGATGCCTTTAAAACCCCAGACCTTGGGTTGGTGAGTTCGCTCAGTGGTTAAGAACACTGGCGGCTCTTCCAGAGGTCCTGAGTTCAATTCCCATCATCCACATAGTGGCCCATGATTATCTATAATGGGTTCTAATGCCCTCTTCTGGCAAGTTAAGTATACATACAGAGCACCCCTATATTTAAACAAGACCCCATAATGGAGATGCCACCAACAGAAGGGCCGGAAAGAGGAAGAAACACATTTAAAAAAATAAAAGAAAAAACTACATCCAGACCCATGGCTGGAGAGATGGATGGCTCAGTGTTTAAGGGCACTGACTGCTCATCCAGAGAGGACCCATTTAAATCCCAGTACACACATGGCAGGTAGCTCACAACTGTCCTTAACTCCAAGATCTGACACTCTTGTCATGGCCATGCAAGCAAAACACCAAGGAAACAAAATAACAACAAACATAGTACATAGGAAATGGCCTGGCTCACCTGCAGAATGGCACAGGAAAAAGCAAGACAGCTTATGGGACAGCTTACGGGACAGCTTAATGAAGTACAAAGAATGAGAACCCAGGAGAGAGAGCTACAGGTAAGAGACGAACCCTGGGCGGCACCAGGAGAATGACTGCCCTGGAGGGGAAAGGGGTGGGGTTCTGGATGCTGGCAACGCGCCACACAGTGGTGTTTGCTTTGTGCTAAGCCACTAAGCTCAAGTGCTTATGGTTTGCATCCAGAAACTCATCCTTGAGTTAAGCCAGCATTACCACTAGAGCAATGTGACAGAAATTAGCAGTGGTTTTAATCCAGAAATGTAAAAATGGCACTTTTGCAGATTCACTCGCCTATCCAGACTTCTGTGCACCAATATAGCCTCCAGTGTCTCAAATCCCTTACAATTCTAATCAACTGTGATGGGCCAGGCTGGAAACGGCGATGACACACGTCCTGGAAACCCTGCCAAGCTATCTCCTGCCCCGCTGCTTCTGCGTGTGTTGATAATTAATCCTTTGGAGCCGGCGCACGGATCTGAGGAAGAATTGGCTATTTTCTGCTTCTGAATGATGATGGCTGAGCCACCGCGGTAGCATTTTCATTTCAAATATGACTGTCAAAAGTGGTGTATTAATCAGTATTTCATTTCAACATTTCCAGAATCCACCTCCCAACGTGTATATACAAAGCTCAGCTACCCTCAGCTGAGAAGGCAAGGACTGGGGCCTTGCTACAGGCGGGGACTCTTCCTCTTTGCGCAAGGCCATCCTCTGGGAGGCTATGGCTGTGACTCTGGAGTTCACTTCCCTGCAAAGTAGTGGCTCTTGGCTAAGTACTTCCAACAGGAGGACAGAGGAAGACTGAATGGTGGAAGACAGGGTGCTTATTTCTACTGGCCCACTGGTTGACTCTTCAGCCTGGTACATCACAGTTGATTAGATTTTTATTTTTTTATTTTTATTTTTTTTGTGGTTGTTTTGAGATAGGATTTCTCTTTGTAGCCAGTCACAGGGTTTTTTGCCTCCCTCTGCCTCAATGCTTCAAAACCTGATGGGATTTTAGGGGACTCTAGCTTCTTCCACAACCTCACGAATTCTGAACCTGTCCATGAGCCTCCAATGTCAAACTCACTCACATCCATTACATGAATGTCTCTGCCAAGAGGTATACTAGAAAGTGCCAGTGCACTGGAGACCCAACTCTAGCAGATGTAGGAAGTCTGGCTAAGCAGTAACTAGTCCTGGAGACACACTGGCACTGAGAGGCAGCTGTTGCTGAGAACCACATCTGGCTGAGGTGCTGCTTGGGTGTGCTTCTGAGTGTCCAGCAGGAGGCAGGACTTCCAGACCTGCTGATGGATGAGTCTAGGCAAACTGGACAGAACACAGCATTATTCTGTGGAGAAGCCTCAAACTGTCCCCCGGGGGTAAAGCACCCAACCAGAGCCTGTTAGACTTCCTCCCTCCCTATCAGAGCCATCAACGCCCCCAGGAGTGCAAAAAGCATTCAGGAAAGTGAAAATCAAAGGACAACAAGGGAAGCTTGCCTTTCCAGCTTCCTGATGCCCAAGGCTGCCAGATCAGGCTCCTCCCCCTAGCCCTCTTGCAACTCTCAGGCCCCGCCCCCGCCCCGCCCCCTCCTCGTCAGTAGTGACTTGTGCTGTGCTGGGGGTGGCTGCCGGTGGGCGGGTGACGCACATCCAGGAGCCCCTTGCCCGCCCCCACTGCTGCATCACCAAGCCTCCAGCAAAGAGTCACAGGCACAACCTGAAGCCTCACAGCCAGACGCGGCTCATTTAGAGCAACAGCTCAGCTAATCTCTTCCACGGGAGGCAGAGCGGGGCGAGCTCTGGAATATTCCAGTGTGGTTCTTCCACACACAGGCATCTAGGGACAGAGAGGAGGGGGCAGGCTGAGCCTCACAGGTTGTTTCCAGCCCTGGACACCCAGTCCCAGGCTGATGCTTAAGCCTCTCTCAGACGGGAATCAGCAAGCAGGCCGGGCAAGCATCTTGTGACTGCTGTCACCCTGAGCATTCTAACAGTCAAAAGTCACACATCCCTTCCCGCCTCCCACCACTGGTTACAGGTCAGCCTCCTGACTCAGGCAAGCCACGCCCTCTGCTCTGCGGGGTGAATTGCTACTAGACAGCTTGCACCACACACAGCATCTCCTCTCCTACCCTGTTTACTCTGGGTCCTGCATCCAC